TTTCCAGCCCCCGGGCCATAGGTTGCTGACCCCTGACATAGTCTATAGTTCTAAAGAGATGGTGGTAGATGGATGGAATTTTCCAACTTTAGACTGTCCAAACCATGCTGAGCATTTCCCCACAAAATGCAGAGCATTTTTCAGCAGCTGCCCCCTCAGAGTACTCTCTCCATACACAGTTGTTCAAAAGAAAATGCCCCACTGCAAGCAATGAAAGGAAATACAATTATACCATATCTGAGGCTGGTTTAAGCTCCCCTCCATTTGGAGAGCACAGTTGGGAACAGGGCCTGCTTTTTATGGAGTAGGTCCATGGCCATTCCTGCCCTATTTTCTGCCACACACTCCAAACCCTCTTCATATGCTCTACAAGATTTGAGCTCCAACCGCAAAAGGGAGCAATCATAGAAACCAGGCCCTCAAGGAGAAATGAAATCAGATATTCCTGAATGCTATTAATGGTCTTGGAGAGGGAAACACAGTCTCTGTAGCCCTGGGACATGGTCCTGGAAACTAGGACTGAATCTTAACAAATTAAAGAAAATAGAGGCAGCTGGGAACAATCCAGTAACACAGAAAATAAACACCCTATCCAGATTACATGACTGCCTAAATAAATAGGCCTTCAACAGGCAATGAAAACCTAACACGGTGAGAATTAGGTGGCTCTCATAAGGTACAGCCTTCCAGAGCTTTGGTGGCACAACAAAGAAGACATTCTCTTGAGCTACATCAGATGTATCTCAGTTAAAAGATAGGATACATAATAGGGCATCTTGATCTCAGAGATCAACTAGGCTGATAAAATATTTTTATTCTGCTTTTAGTTAGAAAAGCTTACAAGGCAGCATACAATCTTCTCAAAATACATAGCATGAGCATGAAAATAAAGCCAGCACCAGAAACAAACAATAGAACCAAAATACATTGCATGCAGCACTGCAGACCACAATTAACCATGCAGAATCTCAGCTGAGATCAAAGAAGGTTCTCTTGCTTTGTTTTGTTCTATCTGTTTGTTTTGTTTTCATTTTACCCACAGGCACATACAATAGTTTAGGGATCAAAAGAAGCAGCAATAAATCTGTGGTTACTTCCTAGATCTTGTCAGGATCTAAAATTATGCCCCATCAATCTAAGAGTTTGATATGCTATCAAGAGAGGTAAGCAAGCACAGGAAATTGTTTGTGAGGATCATAATTTGCTGGACCATAAAATTTTAGCTGAGTTTGACTTCCAGCAAATATCAGCATAGCTGAAATCACCAATCACTACTTTCTGAGTGTAAGGTCATCTCTTTTAGAAAGGCATCATTTTTAATTCATCAGTCTGACTTGGGAGTCTGTAGTACACTCCCACAATAACATCCCTCTTGTTCTAGAAAAGCATAATTTAATTCCTCAGTTTGACTTGGGGGTCTGTAATAGACTCCCACAATAACATCCCTGTTGTTTCCTTCCCCTTTAATTTTCATGGTAAAGACATTCAAAAAGAACTTTCCTTGCCTCATTCTGCATAGTACTAACAAGTGTTAGCTATGATGCCAGTACCATTACCTCTGAGAGATCCTTTGCCAGTCTCACCCCTCCCACACACATACATTACTGCTGCTACCCAGTAGCTGTTTGGCACATTAAGTCTGGCTCCTCAGCAGAACCTTTTGCTTCATGGGAGTATGCAATCCCACCACTGTGTTAAGATAGTGCCATTATAGCTCAGAAAATGGATGCTCTTTCCAATCTCTTTCCCAGTTAGATAAAGGCCAAACATAGATTATCCCCAAGTTCATCCATTAGTTTAAAAAAGGAAGGTGGTACTGTTAGACCATCCATAATTCAGGAAAGCACATACAGACCTTGTGTGCAAATGCCCATTGTGTTTGGTTAGTGAGAATTACCGATACTCAGCACATTTCAGGATTAGCCTCTTGTCAAAAGACTGATGTTATCTTTTAGCTTTTGATATTCTGGTGCGCCCAAAATGATTTGACAGTAAAACTGGTCAGGAGCTGAGATCCTAATTCATACTGAGTTAAGCACATTCAGACCTTCATAAACAGCAACTGTTAAATTACATAAATTAAGAATAAAAAATAAATATTATTTTAAACACTCATTGTTCACAGTCGGAATAGCCACACTGTTTCAACTTCCACAGTGTAATCTTGAAACAATGTCAACTGTTCATTACACAATTTAAGAATATTTTTTCATGCTCAGTTAAGTGGCAGCTAAAGCCCTGAAACGCTGGAAAAGACTTTTAAGATCACTGAAGCTACAGAGCCAAGTGAATCCGTGGTGTAACTCTTATGAAACACTTTTAGAAGTTAGAGGTGTTACAAGCAATAGAGAAGAGATCATATGTGTGAAATCCTCCATCCTGAAAATGCTTCCATCCAAGATCACAGTGACCACAGCTTTTCTTGAAGCCACTCCTTTCCTTTGGCAGCAAGCTCCATCAGGCCCTAATACAGGTTCTTTTCCCACCTGGAACTAAGATTACCCATTCCAGAATTCATATGCTAATTCATTAAAAATGCAGTTGGGTCTTCTTCCTAGTGGGAAGAGCAAATGCAGCATCACTTCATCACAAGGGATTCTAGAACTGATAGTTCCAGTCCTGTGTGGGAAATCAATTGCTGCTTCCTCCTCCCCTTTGTGCTTGTCCTCTTTCTCAAGGTAATTTTCTTCACATTAGGGCAGAAAAAAGGGAAGGATGTAGCAGAAGCAGCAGCACACATCCCTACCATTTGTGACAGGGACGTCACCCATAAACAATGGCTAGGATGTAGCAGGATGTAGCAGGACACATCAAGAATCCATCCAAACATTTTAATCTGAACTGCTTGGATATTTCATGGTACCATGGGAAATGAAAATAGTTAATAAGTAATTTTAGTTAATAAGTAATAAATAGTTAATAAGTAATAAATAGTTAATAAGTAATAAATAATTTTCTAGCAACACACAAATAGATAATTTGCATTCACACCTACAAGAAACTGATATTGTCCAGGCATTCAAGAATATACATTTTGTTTTTGTTTGTTGTTGTGTGCCTTCAAGTAATTTCTGACTTATGGCAATCCTATCATGGGTTTCCTTGGAAAGAACTGTTCAGAGCAGGTTTGCCATTCCCTTCTCCTGAGGCTGAAAGCATGTAGGTCACCCAGTTTCATGGCCAAGTAGGGACTCGAACCCTGGTATCCAAAGTCATAATCTAACACACAAACCACTATGACCATGATGGATCTCATAAACCTACAATAGATGTTATTCAGAATCTTGATGGCTTCTTAAGCTTGCAAACATTCTTCTACAGAAGCAGTTAGGCACTTTTGTCTGATGTGGAACATCTGCTTTCAGTCCAGGACTGCAGCAGTGGAGTTGCACAGGTACTGACACTGTGTGTGCAGATAGATATAGACATTCAGTTGTGCATTTGGTTGCAGACTTCAGTGTGCACTCAGTTAAGTAACACTGCCATACAACATGATGGTTGAATGGCACAATCAATGTGTAACTCCACATGTAAACACAATTCTATCTAAGATCCTAGCCATTGTTTATTGTTGATGTCCCTATTCCAAAATGGCAGCCATACTTTTATTGCGTGTGCTTTTCTTATCAAAAAGTGGATCATGGTGTCAGAAGTTAACATGGAATAACTTCTTTAGCTGCCATCATGAGCAGCTATTCAGCATTTCCAGCAGAAGAAAATGCAAAACCGTCATTCCACCACTTCTACTGAAAAACCAAGTGCTTTTTCCTCTTTCCTTCCTATCCTCTTTTTCCTTTTGTATGCTGCCTTAGATTATAGACCTGTGGGCATTTGTTGATTGTATCAGAAAAACCTTTTGGCTGAGGAATAGTACTTCCTTTCAGAACTATTATACCACTATACTTTATTTATTTGCTTTTCTCTATGCATGGTGTGAAACAGACTGCCCCAAAGGGTTGATTGGGGCTGCCCCGGTGCTGCTTGTCCTAAAGCTACTGCAAGCACATGCCACAGCCCCAATCCGCCCTGCCACTGACCCAAATAGGACTGGAAAAGATCCACTCCCATTCAGGCTGGTAAAAGGCCACCTTAGGTGGCCCTAGCACAACCCCAGGGTGGCTTCTGTGAGCTCCGGGGGGGGGGGGGGGGGGGGGGGGGGGGGGGGGGGGAGGTTGCAGCATCAAAACACCACACCCCCAGAGTGGTTTGAAGCCACCCACATCTGTTTGGCCTCTATGTCTCTCTTACCTCCATAAAGATTGGACCCTACGTAAGTCTTAACAATGTCCTATCCTCCTAAATGAAAAAAAGCAACTGTGAGTTCTGACATATACAGTTGTCTCTCCCTGTTCGTGGACATTGAGTCTGCAGTCTTGCTCTTCACGCAGAGGGGCAAGGACTATACTTTAAACAGCTGCATGTGTGCATGCACCATTTGTTTAAATGGGGCTCCAATATTTGAGAGCAGCCATTTTTGCGGGGGGGGGGGCAGAACAGATCCCCCGTCAACTGTGAGGGGCAACTGTATATGATAATTAACAATATACCCTCCCTCACATAGTTTAAAAGGGGAGATCATACTGAGTGACTTTAGGAGTATTCTCTTACCCCATGGAAATTCCAATGTATTTCAGGGAATAAAAATGCCACCATGTCCACAGGAGTGAGTGTGTCTGGGTGTAGACTGAAAAGTAATCTACAATACCCAAACCATCAAGAGAAAGAAAATAGTTTTTCATGAGCCAGAACATTTGTTTTGATTAGCTGACAGACTTCCTTTACTGTAAAAATTGTAACATATACAATTTATGTATCCTAAAAAATATACTGCTGTTATTTCCAACTGGGAAAAAACAGTGCTGTAAACCCCACAAATTAGAAAATGGACATGAACAATGAGAAAAAAAACATTGTTTGATTTATTTATTTTAATTATTTATTATGTTTTATTTATTTTTTGTAGAAAGATCTGTCATATAGGGTATAACGGGTCATTTTCTACCCTACTAACAAAATAGTCTCTAATGAGAAAATGTCTCCCAATGAAGGATCGTTATTTGTGCCAGTTTCTCTACAGATAGCAGAAGACCTCTCTTGCAGTAGCTACTGCAAGAAAATTTTCCACATTTGGTGCCTCCACTGCTGATTTTGTTATCTACTCCCTCACTTTAAATGTTAACAATGAGAGGTCAGGGTATGCTTTTATTCTGTTGATTAATGTAAAAGTACAATAGGCCTTTGGTTAGGAGACATTCTGTCACTATTTGCCATTTCATTTAATCCAGCGTGGACATATGGTTCAACTAGTTTTACCAGGTTCCTTCAGAAGAATAGTCTTAATATCACAGCATCACCCCATTTTTATGAAAACTTTTCCTGATTTACATGGCATAACAAATGGACATTTACCTATGAACAATAAGTTCTTCATCAGTGGTTAGATTTATCCATGGTTTATATCACATTCCATGCAGCTCAGTAAATATAGTCTGCATAGTCCTAAATAGCAGCAAGCATAGCAGGGACTCTGTGGAATGCTTGTTTCCCTCTTGTTGTATCACAAGTATTTTATGAATGCACAAAAATTCTTTAGGCTCACTGTTACTCTCAAGTGGCAGCACCTTGAAACTCCATGCCAGAGTTCTTCATGTTGTCCATGACACCTACCGGCCAAGAGCAGTCTTCCACTCACTGGTATTGAGAGGTTTCTATTCTTTCCCTTTGATAGTGTTCTTCCTGTGCTATGCCCTGACAACATGACATAAGTCTCTATTTGTTTTCTTGGCTTGTATGATAAAGAATGCTTCCTGTGAGGAGTAGCTAAAAGATTTCTAGCATTGTTTGTCTGCATCATTCTCTGGTTGTGGGCATTCCTGAATGATACCTCCTGCTGCTCTACAGTGAATTGTATGTAGATGTCTGTACTGTTCCTTCACCTCTGCCTCTCAGGACATCAGTGTTTCCACTTTGCACTTCTTGGACAGACCAAGCAAGTATGCACTTACTGCCCTTCTACTCTGGAGCAAACAAAAAGATTATTTCTTGACCTGAGTACTCACACTGATTTTGCTGCATCACTTCCCCATTTCCCACCAAAATGACATGGGATATTTTTTGTCTCATACATTTTATTCCATACAAAAACTATTCCAATGGCAAAATATAATAGATATGTTGGGGCAATTTTTGTCCCAGCTGTTTTTTGTTCATGGGGGGGAAATATACATGACAGGTGGCTGAAACTCAGAGATGCTGTTTAAAACTATTAGGTGACAGTGCCTTAAATTACCTCGACTCTTATCTGACAGAACTCGCCATAGGAATTTTCTTCATTCCT